TTTGAGAACAAGGTGAAGGCGATATGTGTTAAACCAATATTTCTGGCATGGGGATGTGTACAAAACCAAACAGTTGAGACAGTACTGGGTTTAGACGTGTTGGGAGAAACAAATGACACGAACGTGTTTGGGATATTTTTGGGAGTCTTCTAGAGTTCAAGTTTCTCATGCACACCGAACCGTGATTGTTGTGACAGCATTGCACTTGTAGCTGAGGCCGCTAGGATACAAGTGAGGAGAACTATTGACCTATCAAAGAAGGGGTTCCATGAAGATCCCTTGTATGTGCACATCAGGCACTTGGAAACAAAGTCTCCCTTACAATTCACACAGGTTGGGCTCGGGGATCGTATGTAATATATATATAGGTATATAATGGTATATATATATAACTTATATAATTGATCTGATTGGTCAATTGAATTGGACACATGCACTTGTTGCACGAACCTGAAATTCAAAATGATTCAACAGCAACACGCACAGCTCTTTTCTCTTCGTTTCTCGTTTCCTGCATCATCGCGGTGTCTCGGCATTCATATCCTCGGAGCTGGCGAAGCAGCGGCGCATGCCGGGAAGGCATCTCAGCGAGCTGGCGGAAAAGACTTCACCAAGCATCTCCAGCCAACCTTGAGGTTGTTCAGGAACTACTTGAGGAACACCGGAGACCACACGATCGCACAGCAGTCGGAGTTCTCGAAAGTACTCCTTTCTGGCGCGCAGCCGGAGGTCGTTATGACCTGCTCGGTACTTCACCAGTTTCTTTTCGGGGCTTGCACAGGCTCCATGAGCAGCAAAGGCTTGATCAATGGGGCTCATCTCATCCAGCTCTCCATGAATTACCACGGTGGGGATTCTCACCTGCCGAAGTTCCTCCAGTGGCTTCAAGGGCGAAGGTTCTTGGCGCAAGGCCTGGAGCAACCTTGACACAAGGATGCACAAGGCAGGAGAGGAAATGAGGCGAAGAAAGAATCACTGGATTCGAATTGGAGGTGTCCACGTGTCCACGAACCCCCTCCTTGTGGGTGCTGGTGAATTCCTCCCCTGGCATCACTCGGGGTCAGGAAGGTTAGTGACCTTTCGGGCCCTCTGTTCGGACTCCTTCGGGGGGGGGTTGCAAAATAATGTAAACCAACTACCAACTGAAGGAAATCCAGGAAGCTGAGGCATCATCATGGCAAACTGCATGACCATTGGCAGCTTTAAGAGCTCCATGACGCCTGACTCGATGATGAGGCCGCAAACGTTTGGAGCCGTGGCCAAGTGGATGGCACAGGCGGAGCCTAAGCTCCGGCCCAGCACAATGATGGGCATGTCCAGCTGGAGGTCATTAGTTTCCAGAATCTCAGGCAAGGCGTTGATTAAGGCCTGGATTGGTGACAGTCTGGAACAACAGTGATCATCAATGGTGTTTATTTGGATGTTCGGATGTTTGGTTGCGGGGTTCTGAAACTCTTCCAAACTGCCGCCATGCCCTAGGACCTCCCAAAACTCATCAAAGTATCACCCCTGCCCGCTCCTACCTCACTGTCCGGATACAGGCTCCGCAGGCTAGGCGTGCCCTCGCTCCAGGCATAGCCGCGGAACTCGGGGCACAGCACCGCACCAAAGCCGCAGTCGAAGAACTGGTGCACGTCTGTTTCCAAGTCAGTGCACAACTCTGCATTCGCGTGAAAATAGATCAGCAAGGCCTTGCCACTCGAGTCTTGACGTGTGTCTTTGTACAGGCGATAGGCCAACTTCACATCAGCCATGTAAGTGCTGTCGATCCATGGGCCTCGCTTGGATGCTTGGCATCGCTGAGGGCGGAAGGCCACGCCGGCCACGAGCTCACTGTCCCACAAACTTCGGGAGGCCATGGCGTAAACACCAATACCTCTAAGCCAGTGACAGCGACAGGAGCTGGGTTTCGTCAGCAACACAATCATGATACTGAAGCCCCGAAAATCTGATTACATTGAAAAGCCAATGTTCATCAATGTTCTCACAGTGCTCTATAGCAATCAGGTCGATGGTGTTTGAGCTAAGCATCTTTGATCACAATTCAAGAACCTTCAGGTATCATCTTTGACTCGTTTTCTACCTATTTCGGAAGCTTCAATTCCCATTTTCCCATTTCCACACCCATCTCACATCTTCTGGGCGCAGCCCGTGCAGCCCAAACGGGTCCTGAGACTCCCAGCGCTCGTCATAGGAAACTGCCTTGGAGTGTGATCCAACACGAATGTTAAAAGCTTGGTGAAAGCCCTGGCATACACTCTTGGCCAATAACGAAACAATTTTAGCAAAACAATTTTACCTAAGTACTTATCTTGGCGCAAATGGCGGAGGTAAAGCCGTCTTTAGCCTAAGCACCTGCCTATCCTATCTTTCTGTTCCTTTGTGTATTTCCACGCAAGTGAGCTGCGATAGTTTGACATACTCAAAGGGCTACACATATACACTCCCACTCACTAATATGGACTGGACACCAGTCTGTAGAGGAAAATCGTCTTCTCAGGGGTCAGTTTCGCCATGTTTCCACTTTCAAGACTTTCATGTTAGTCAGAGTCTATACTGCATTCAGCTTTGGTGCATTCCCCCGGCCAGCTCTGTGAATCGCCCCCGCGCGGGGGGGGGTCATCACGACATCGGCGCACCGACCGTCCGCGCGACCGTCCGTGTCTGCTGGTTTTGGGCAAGTCGAGGTTGGTCTGTTCGAGTTGCTGAGACTTTGAAGCCGGAGAATAACGTGAAACATGCAACTATCTTGGGAAAATGGTGGCCGTACGGCAAGTCATACTATCAGCATGCTGGCCGCAGGTGGTCAATTAAAAGAACTGAGTGGCCGCATCATCTGGCTGCAACTGTCTCAGGGTGGAGAGGGCCACCAGCTGCATAGGCGCCAGATGGGACATCCGGATGTGGCTGAGCAGAATACTGGATGAACTCAGGGCCAGCCAATTTAGTGCCGTCGTTGGTGAGCACTGCCACGGAAGCCATGTTGCCTGCCTTGTCCACATAGTTGGGCGCAGAGAAGACCGTGATCAAGGGGTACTGACCCTCATGGTCGTAGCGGTAGCCTTGCGCCTTGACTTCATGGGACCGCAAGGTCATCCTGAGGCCATTGTACTCCATGAAGTTCTTGGAAACATCAGGGCCGAAGAGGTAGATTCCACTGGACATGCGGCCGGAAGGCCCATAGCCATCCTTGCCCTTGGGGTCGGACCAAAGGAGGTCCACCATAAGAGGATTCTCATCAGGGTTTGGCTCCATAAAGCGATTGGAGTTCTCGATCTCCGCCAAGCTGATCTGGATCCTTAGACAGGATCTTATACAGCCGAGCACATCATTTGACACCGAGAAGGGAATACCAGTAAGCCACTATGTTGCTATAGACCTTGGAAGACAAACCCGACATGGACATAGTCTTGGCATTCGGGGTGCTCAATGGTGCTCATAACTGGGAACCCCACGGCCCCTCACCCACCGTGTCTAAACCGACCTAGGATCTGACGTCCATCGAAGCTGATCTGATTGTCCATGCCCTTCCACCACACACGAGGGTCCGGCCCTGGGATGCCTCCGTGCACCACGAAGATCTCGTTGTTAATGACATGGCACAAGGGCGTGGCCCGGAAGATCTCCGCGAAGAGGTCCTAAGGGTGCCAAGATGTGACAAGGAAGAGATCCAGCCCCTGAAAGAAGAAACTTCTGATGATTTACCTAATAGCAATTGTCCCCAACCTATAAAATAGCGATGGCATCCAACCAATTAAAATAGCAATGGCCTCCAACCAATAAAATAGCGATGGCCTCCAACCAATAAAATA